TTATTTATTATTTTATTATATTATTAATTCAATTTAATAACTAGGTATGTTTCATAACCTTTTAACTAAGTAACAATAGGTCTGAAAAAGCATTGCTAAATTTCTTTGAAAAAATAATTAAAACCCCTTTATTTGTTTAAAAGGTACTACAAATGTCATTATAGTCATTCAAAATTCTTGGCATAGCTGCTAACGTCACGCATATTCTATTTCTTTTTACTTGTAGATTGTCTTATTCCCATCTCGCTCGCGCACGCTATAATCACACTGACAACTTTTTGTCTCAGGTGCGCGCGCATCGTAACATTTCACTATCATAAATTTTTCATAACGCGCCTAAACAAGTATAACTTCAAAAATCGAATGGCAATGTACGTGTCTATGGGCGGTGGCATCACTTAAGATCAGGTAAGCCTTCGGCCCGTTTGCCTGCTGTAATTAAAAAAATAATAATAAAAAAACCACCATCATCGGTAGTGGCGGGGTCCTTTACTTGGAACTTCGATCACTCTAGTCAGCTTCCGTCCTGCCCTTCAGGCGATTGACTACCCCGCGGCAACCCAAACCGAAGTCAGGCCAATAGCGATTACATTGTTTTGTAAATTGTCTACCCAATACACCGTGCTGAGGGATCGTTTAAGTATTACGTAAGCACCACAGTAATATTTACTTTTTAACACATATTACCCACACATTGCTTGAAAACGAAATGCATTTTCGAGAATTCCTACAAAAAATTAATACGTTTATGTACCATTATTTATGAGAGCTGTGCTTACTTTTGCTGACAAGGGGAAGTGGGGGGGGAGATAAATTGCAGTAAATCTACTTACGTAATACTTAAACGGTCCGATTAGGGGCCTCATAGCCTAGCGGTCTTATTAAGTGACAGCTAGGTGAGGGGTACCGGGTTCGATTCCCGGTTCGAGGGCAAGTTTTAATTTAAATTTGTTCTCGGCCTGTGGGAGGGTTGTGAGGTACCGGGCGAGTGCTTAAACCGTACATGGAGGACACGGTCGAATTTCTAAAGACAAGCATGAATTATAAAAAATCTTATACTTCACGCTGGCTAATGCACAAATCGTGCCAGAGCCATAAAAAAAAAACAAAAACATCGTGTTGGCGAGATAATTTGTAACGTTGTAGTCCTGTGCAGGAGGTGCTAAACGGTAGTATCAGTGGTGTTATTTAATTTAAAGTGCTATTAAATTTAAATGCGTGTAGAAAATACTGTGGACCAATCACAAATAAACAAAACGCGCCATTGTTTTTGCCTTTTAAATTTTCACTCGCTCTTGAATTATGCGACCCTGGTAGAAAATTCTGCTTGAACATAAAAACCACAAACGGCAGAAAACCGTAATCTCGCCGAGATTGTCAGAGAATGTCTTCCGTCTAATGAAATTACACTTACGTAATGTAATTAGTATTTAAACACTTGATACGCCCCATGGTTTCAATATTTAAGTTATATAATACTAGCAGACCGGCCAAGCGTTGCTGTGGCTAAGGTTTTAGTTATATTACAAAGTAATAACCTATTCAAGAGAGTAGGAGAACACCAGCATGGGGACCACCATGCTTTTTTGGTGGTTATGCCATTAAATTGTAGCTTATGTGAAACGTTGGTACTTTCAACACAGCGCCATCTGTTAGAATCGTGACTATCAAATAATAAACAAATATTTTGCAATAAAATAATATTGCGGGTATAAATTGAGATGTAAGCTATCCTATCTTTTAAGTTAGATCAAACTGCACACGGTGTGCAAATTTGATTGAAATCGGTTCGGTAGTTTTGGAGTCCATAGCGGACAAACAACGTGACACGTAATTAATATATATTAAGATATATATTCTACTGTACATGTGTACTGAATTTCTCATAAACGGGTAGTTTAGATTCATAAATCAGCGCAGCAGATGGCGCTGCAGTCAGCTATCATATATGTATAGCTTAATATCCTAATCGCTTGAAATATGGGTCCGCTAGTTTATAATAAATTCCAAGATGCATTGATAATTATTATATATATTTAATAAAAAGGACCAATAACAAAGGCGTCATTAATACAATATACCAAAGTTTTTTTTATATTATTTTTTAGTTACATTAAATGTATCTATTTGCTGGTAATTTGTGTTATAATCTGAAGGTGTAATACATGACTGAGTTACGTAAACAGTTTGTATTATACCAAGGAATTTTAAATATTTGGGTTTGCCTTGTATTGTATAAAGTTTATTGAAGTTATACTTCTTTAGGCGCGTTATGAAAAATTGATGAGAGTGAAATTTTACGATGCGCGCGCACCGTGACACAAAATTATCAGTATGGGCGCCGAGCGTGTGCGCGAGCGAGATGCGAATAAGACAATCTACAAGTAAAAAGGAGTAGAATATGCGTGAAGTTAGCAGCTATGCCAAGAATTTTGAATGACCATAATGACATTTACCTTTTAAACAAATAAAGGAGTTTGAATTATTTTTTCAAAGAAATTTAGCAATGCTTTTTCACAAAGACCTATTGTTACTTAGTTAAAAGGTTATGAAACATACCAAGTTATTAAATTGAATGAATAATATAATAAAATAATAAATAATAATAATAATTCAAACTCAAACTCAAAATATCTTTATTCAAGTAGGTAACCAAGTACACTTTTGAATCGTCAAGTTAAATTAATCGTAAATTTACATTTACTACCAGTTCGCAAGTCAAGGGCGTAGAGCGGGTAAGAAGAACTGGCAAGAAACTTTCCGCCACTCTTTTTAATCGCCAAGTATTGTCATACAAATTGTTTGAACTGGAGCAATTCAATCCCAAGGATTAGGATCATTTAAGTAGTCCTCAAATTTATAAAAAGCTTTGTTGATTAATTTTCGTTTAACGAGGGCTTTGAATTTATTTAGTGATAATTCTCTAATTTCGCTTGGGAGCTTGTTGTAAAAACGAATACAATTTCCATATAAGGAGTGGTTTATTTTTTGGAGCCTGGTTGGTCGTACACTCAAATTAGTTCTATTTCGCGTATTATACTGGTGAAAGTCACCATTTGTTTTAAAATCGTTTATATTTTTTGGACATACAACAAGGCTTCAAGAATATATTGACCAGATAGTGTCATAATATTTAATTCCTTAAACTTATTCCGTACCGACTCCCTCGGAGAAACACAACAAATACCCCGAACAGCCCGCTTCTGCAGCACAAATATGGATTGAACCTCTGCAGCAGCACCCCACAGTAAAATGCCGTACGACATAACGCTATGAAAGTAGCTATGGTACACAATTTTAGCCGTGTCCTCATCAGTAAACTGTCGGATTTTCTTTACTGCATATGCTGCAGAGCTCAGCCTATTCGAAAGAGTCTCTATGTGTGGGCCCCATTGGAGTTTACTATCTATTGTTATGCCTAGAAAAACAGTTTTGTCAACAAAGTTTAGTTCACTGTCCTTAATTTTCAGGTTACCAATATCTCGCTTTACGCTAGTAGTTGTAAATCTAATACATTTTGTTTTATTCTCATTAAGCAATAAGTTATTTACATTAAACCAGTTAACTATACGAGAGATAGAATTGTTTACATCGTCCAATAATACGTTATTCCTATTCACTTTAAATAGAAGTGAAGTGTCATCAGCAAACAATACCATCTCATGAACTTCGTTGACAAAGAATGGGAGGTCATTTATGTAAATCAGAAATAAGAAAGGCCCGAGAATCGATCCTTGGGGGACGCCCATTGATACCTGCGAACCCGGAGAGGTGACTCCATTGACATGAACTCTTTGGATCCTTCCCTTTAAATATGAATTCATCAGGCTGGAAGCTTTGCCATCAACGCCATAGTGTTGAAGCTTTCCAACGAGTATATCAGGATGAACACAGTCAAAGGCCTTTGACAGGTCACAAAAGACGCCGACTCCATCATATGATTCTTCCCAGGCGTTAAATATGTCCGAAATCAACTTCACACCGGCATCGATTGTGGAGCGACCCTTAGTGAAACCATACTGTTTATTATGTAAGAGTTTATTTTTATTAAAATGTAAAGAAAGCTGGTCTAGCATTATCTTTTCAAAAACTTTGCTCAACGCAGGGAGCACGGAAACAGGTCTGAAGTTTGACGGATCAGACTCACTACCGGCCTTGAACAACGGTGTAATCTTACTTAATTTCATTTCGTCCGGAAAGACTCCACAATCGATACATCTGTTAAAAATTATAGACAATTCAGAGCTTATTACATTAATAACGGAATTTAAAATGACTGTTGACATACCCCATATATCTTTACTTTTTTTAAATTAATAAGCTAAAAATTTTAACGATATCATTACAAGTTATATATTGTTATTAATATTAATTAATAATTGAATAATATACTAAATATTATTAAATTGTTTACGTTAAATATTGATTATTTATTAATTATATTTAAAAAAAAATAAAGAAAGCCAAAGAAGTATAACTTCTTACGCGCGTATATAAGTACACGCACCCTTTTTTTATAAATTAGCACAGTAGATTAACTCTAAATCAGATTGAAAACCGAACGGTTTAGTGGAACCTGGAGGCTTTGTTTATAAAGACGGAAAGAGAACATTTGTTTATTATTAAGTGCTGCTAAATTTATAATAAATTTTACAATTCATTAACACAATTAACTAAACTTAATACATAAGTTTAATCCACTGATTAAACTAATGTATTAAGTTTACGCCTTTTTTAGGTCTGGGCCTCAGATTTCTGTATCTATTTCATGATCAGCCTCCTGTGCCTGACACACGCCGTCGACTTTTTGTGTCTAAGGCAAGCCGGTTTCCTCACGATGTTTTCCTTCACCGTTCGAATGTTAAATGCGCACATAAAAATAAAGTCCGCACAGCCGGGGATCGAACCTACGACCTCCAGTTTAAGCCACAAGGCCAACACTGCTTTTTAATTAATATTAATTTACTCTAAAAATAAACTAATATTAAACATTTCCACAGGCTGAAATCTGGTCGGTGTTCATTGCGATCCTGCGCAAGAGTGTGCGAAATCTCCAGGCGTGTACCGATGTCGGGCTCATTCACCACGTTCTGCAGAGGCTGCCCCGTGCGGAGACTGTTGTTGCAGGTACCCACATTTATTAAATACAAGAAATATATAGAAAATTATGATGATGTTTTTTATTAAGTGTATTAAATGTATTGTATTTTTTTAACCGACTTCAAAATAACCGTAAGATGTTATCGATTCTACCTGCTATATAGCTCCTCTGCGCTGGGCCGATCTAGATGATTCAATTATCTGTAAGTGTCTCCATATCCTCTATTTAATTATCAATAGTTATTTAATTCTAGTTCATTTAAAGTCAGTTTTATTTTTTAAAGGAATTCATTATTATATTGAACAACGTTTAGTAAAATTGTTTATGCCCAGTGTTCTCTTCTTGTTATTACTAGAAAAAATAATACAATATTAATATTTATTTAGCCAATGTTTGTACTTCATTGACTAATTCATCCATAAAATGTGCCTTTTTTAGCATTAGTGAGTACAAACAAACTCGCCGATTAAACAGTGGCGGAAAGTTAAGAGTCAGTTCTTGTCCGTTTAACGTTTTTGATTTAAGAACTGGAATTAAATTTGGAGCAACGTATTGACGAAATTTACCTATACTTATAAATTATTAACTAAATGACGTTGATCTGTTTTTAATTAATTATAGAACTAGAACAGGACAGTTCAATCGAAAGCTCGAAAAGAAAAAGTCGAAAATTAAATATATGTACATATATTGTGTTCTCGTTCTTATACGATTTTTATATTCTATGCATAAACCAAAAATACTAGAGTATTTTGTTAACTGTTTTAATAATATTCGCATCGCTTTCAATTACATTATTAATACATAATATGTGAAATTTAATTAACTATGAAAAGGGTGTTCCCGTCCATCATTTATTTTCCAAAGTTTTGGCTCTTAATTGCGTAGAAATATTCTTGGAAGTTTGATTTTAAAAGACTTTGAAATCAGATAGGTATATGCAATTAAAACAAAGTGTTCTCTTACACCCTAAGAAACGTTATGGTTAATTATTTTGGAATGGAATTTGTTTAATTGGTCCAGACGAGGGTCTTCACGTAAGCTATGCTGCCCTAGTACAGATTGTGTAATTAATACCCACGCCTGTAGGGGCTTCGACCCTACCTTGGAAATATATACCTGTTTTCTTACGCACCCTCTTATAAAGTTTCGACTCGCGAAGTAGTTATATATTCCTGGTACTCTTGGGAATATTAAGAAATCCTTTCTGTCTTCAAGACGTCCTTTTTTTCCCCTTTTTTTGTTTTCTTGGATGGTTTTGTGTAGAAAGCCAGCCCAGTGTAGCACGTGATTTTCAACCTTAAGGTCGGTATGTTTGAGCCGCATAAAGTATTTTTCTTGTGCGTACAAAAAGGCACTAAAGAGATTAAAAATTTCAAGCATAGAAATTCTTGTAACTAATTTCTTGTCATTTATCTGTTAGCCCAGTGGTTAAACACGCGATTTTCAACCCTAAGGACGTGAGAGACCCAGTGGATGCTTCTTAGTATGTGTGCGTACAAAAGGGAACTTAAGAAATCGGCTTATAATTTTGTATTTTATTACTATGAGAAAATAGATATTTTATTTCAAATGCGAGATATTTTTAAAAGTACCCTCTTATATCCGTTGCACCGCGATCCGGAACATTATAATTATATCGGAAACCTTTCATTTTTCTCGTATTAAATAAAAATACTTTGTAGAGAGGTTTCAACGTTATCCTCCGCTTTGTACACTTTAGTATGGTAATCAATGTTTCTTTGAAAAGTATTTTGATCAAAGTATACACAATGCAGCCATATTTGATTTTTAATTGATTTCGCAATTCTTATTTTGCCCGTCTAGTCTTTAATCATATGAGTACCTGCTCCACATCGAGAATGTAGGCGCACCTATTGTATTGTTCTTTCGCCCTGGTAACGGCGCCCTTTTGATTTCGCTTTTTATTTCCCTCGTTACTTATTTCCGTGGAAACCAGGTCAGTCAGTGTTGCTGCGGTGAACACCTGGAGAAAAGGTGGATTTTTGTGTCTTCAGATCAAAAATTTAGCTATCTAGCTATCTCTAGATAACGACAAAAATAACCTCAAAGCTATAAAAAACGGGCTTAAAAAGCAGTAGCAACAATAAAATAATGAAATTTGTCGCTAAAGCATTCAAAAATCTATGTACCTGAATTATAATATCCATTCTCCGTATTAAATACAAAGATTAAATTCAAATAATAGTGCGAATTATAATACAATATCGGAATGTAGCTAAATTGTTCAGCATGGATAGGATTAGTTAGAACTTGTAATAATACTGATATCTCTAGCTGCTGATACGAAATGTGGGATGAAGTACAGCTTAACGTAATAAGTAAATTCAATTACATTAAAACGGGTCCCTTTATGTATTTATTTTACCTACACGGGTAGAAAAAGCGTGCACTGCGTTTATTTGAAAAGAACACTAAAATGAAAATTATTTTATCTAAGGCAGTTAGCTGTCTCTTTTCTTCACAGCTTAAACACCATTTGGCAGAAAGAAACGACAGAGAATATGAATCCTTTGTTTCATTATCTTATTGTAGATTAAAAAGGGTGTCACTGTTTGACCGGATTGAAGTTATGTATTATTATAAATTTACAACTATTTAACATAATTTTAAATAGTTGTAAATTTATAATAATACATAACTTCAATCCGGTCAAACAGTTTTTTCTTTAAATGTGTAAAGGTTATGTAAATCAAAGACAATACTAAGGGTGTCACTTCTCCCACGGTCACCAGGATCATATAAATTCCAGAAAGAATACCTCAATTTCTGCAGCTCAGTTTCCCACAACTACCAAGGTAGCATATTTCAAAGGATGTCATTTAAACATAAAAAATTAAAAAAATCTTACCTGCGAAGCGCCTTGACAAAAAATAATTTCAAGGGATGTAAAAGGATGCTCAAAAAATAAGGAATGCATTTGACGTGGTTTCAAAGGGTTGAGAGTTTCTCATGAATACTAAGGCATCATAAACAGGGGCAGGTCAGGCATCAGTACCTTGCGGCGGCGGTATACACTTTTTAGTTAATAATTTGTACCGCCATTATCCCTGGAGTTTTAATTAGTCGACTCTCGACTTGTTCCCATTGTTATGAGGGCTTTAAGCATATATTATGCGCTTAGGTCTTACAATTTTGGCGCTGTAATTGGTTCTTTGTTAGGCTAGAATGAAATGTAACTAGTGAAAGCCAACTGAAAATATGAAATGAAGTTTATTTGCAAGTGTAAGGAACAGTGCCTGTATGGTCTATACTATCTATACTTCTATACTAATATTATAAAGAGGAAAGGTTTGATTTTTTGTTTGTTTGAAATGAATAGGCTCCGAGACTACTGGACCGATTTCAAAAATTCTTTCACCGTTGGCAAGCTACACTATTCCCGAGTGACATAGGCTATGTTTCATTTTCAAAAAAATTAGGGATGCTTACTAAAACTTGAATAATCTAACCCAAGGTGTTTAAAAATAAACAAAATCTTCCTTCAATCGAGTGCGCTGCGAAACCTATTAATGATAGAACAAAATGATGTATAACAATGTTTCAGGACACATCACTATCTATAGAAAATGTCGCGACAGCATGTCTCTATCTATTATAGTTACGTCACAATAAGCGTCCTTTTATTAATTTTTTTTATTAAAATCACCGCTAAAAAAGGCTCTTTATTCGTACCCAGGTATTGATCCTTATCAAAATAAATACCAACGTTTCACATAAGCTACAATTTAATGGAATAACCACCAAAAACGCATGGTGGATTGGTGTTCTCCTGCCGTTTCTCTTGAATAGTTTACTACTATGTAATATAACAAAAATCTTAGCCACAGCAACGCTTGGCCGAGTCTACTAGTTTTTTATAAAAAACACGTTGCCGTTCTAACCTCTCCAATATTTTTCAGCTAATCTTAAACAACAAAGAGTATATTTATTATTGTTGCACGATATTCTTAATGGGATAGATAGCCCCTATTTGCTGTCGTTAATTTCTCTAAGAATACGAACAAGAATTATCTGCAAATGCCAATGTTTCGGGTTTTATCTAAGGCTGAATTTAGTGTCACGCCGACCGCACGCGTACCGTCGGCGCTGATGGTCGAGATATATGAACTTCTAGAAAGCGTTTTTGAATGACGCGTAGCTATAAGCGCGCACGGTGGTCAGCGCCGATGGCTGCGCGGCCGTACGCGTCGCGCGTCGGCGCTGACAATACACTAATACACTCCGCATTTTGGTCTTCGTCTGTACAGTAAGGCGGTCAGTACGATACTAAAACGAACCACGCTGAGCGTCAGCGCTGACGAACTACGCGCTGAGCGTCAGCGCTGACGAACTACGCGCTGATCTATGAGCGCTGACGGTGAGCGTGAGACTAAATTCAGCCTAACTATGACACAAATTTTGAGGATTTTGATATTTTATTATACTTTGAGTTTGTTTAGTAGAAACAATTTAGTTTTCTTTCAAATATTAAGTATTTATTGTCGTCGGTTTAACGTTAAATTTCAATTTTCTTTTTGTATATTAATGTACTTATGTTTTGGCTTTGTATGTTATTTTATTTATTAACACTTCGTTGCATTACAATATAAAATTGAACATAATTAAATGAGAAGGTGGGCAACTGGCGGCCTTATCGTTTTCGAGCGATCTCTTCCAGGCAACCACTGTGAGAAAAGAAAAAATGTATTAAATTAGATAAGATAGGCTAGAAGTGCAAAAGTACATAATACATATAGTAATTAAGCAAAAAAATCTGAAAACAAACTAAACTAATAAAGGATACATGAAAAATAAAAAATTAGTTGTTATCTGAAAGATTACTAATAAATAAATAAGATCAAAGACAAATCTTAAAAATAATTTCAATGGAGGCGCCGGGTATCGATCCCGGTACCTCTCGCATGCTAAGCGAGCGCTCTACCATCTGAGCTACGCCCCCGTTGGAGGTTTATTTGAAAATGTAATTCAGTTTTAAACAAAGCTGCCTGAAGCGAGGTCTTTTATTGCTTGCAGAACCGC